GTTTAGTTTTTCCAACATTCTTATAATTTTCCATTTGGTGATATAGTATATATTTATATTAGGTGATATAGTATATTTAGTATATATTTAGTATATATAGATATATCATTTGGTGATATAGTATTCCATTTGACGATATATATGTTTAAAAATGAGGATATAGAAATTCCGACAAAGTTTTAAAATTTTGGAAATTGCAAACGTTCATGAAAATAGATTTGTTTAAAAATAAATTTGATAAATCATTTCACCATTCAGAGGCTTCGTCAGATCCAAAAAGGAAAGCAAGAAATGTCTTTATGTGTATTTGTGGACATGTTTAAATAATGACATCTTAGTACTTTTTGCCTAAGCTGACATTTCTCGTTATTAAAGAAGGAAGAAAATGAGTGACTTTAAAAAAAAAATCGTTAATATTTATTATGTATCTTTTCTTTTGAATTTTTAGTCCATGTCGAAAGTTGTTAATAAGTTTTCCCGAATTTTTTGTATCTAATTAAAGACAAATCCTCTCCTCACTTTCAAAATGTCTCGAATATTGAAAACAAAGCCTATAATGTCACTAAGGTTAAAGGGGCACCTGGAGTAAAAGAGAATAAAAAGAATTTAGAAGGAACCGAAAATCTAATCCAAAGCAAGTAACAAGGTGTAAACCTCTACTCCTGTGCAAAAGACAAAGGAAGAGTATGAATCAAGCGATAAGCAAACCTATCTACCACTCTCTCTCTCTCTCTCTCTCTCTCTCTCTCTCTCTATATATATATATATATATATATATATATATATATATATATAATACTTCTTTATAATATATATATATATATATGTATGTATATATATATTATAAAGAAGTAATTTATACAAAGAATTAATTAGCAATGTTAATCTGATTAATGGCGAAATCACTTCGCAAACAAGACTTAATAAGACATTAACTTACTATATATTCCTTGAATAATACTCTCCTTTTATTTGACTTGTTGTTAGATGGAATTGACGAACCAAGTACTTTCAACAATTTCAAATTATGTTATAATATATAAGCTGCACACTCTAATATCTATCTATCTATCTATCTATAAATATATATATGTGTGTGTGTGTGTGTGTGCGTGTGTGTGCATATATATTTGTTATGCACAGTTACATTAGAACGTGTACATGGCCACTACAAAACTGTACATCTTGTTTCAACGTTTAAAAGTAACGTTTCTTCAGGTTGGAAATCACGATGGTACTATATTATTTTATTCCCGAATACAGGTAACGGAGCACACCTCCCACTTTCGTCTTTGGAAAATCTTCCATATAAGGTAAAAAGAATTTCCATATGAACAAAGAAAGCTAAGTCATTAATAACAGCGAAAGAGGGAAAAGAAAGATAAGGAAAAAGGCGAAGAAAATAAAATAAAAGTTGAGACGGGTATTGAACATTCTATTTGTAAAGAGAAGTAAGTTGAGGATATAAGAAATAAGAAAATGTCAACAGTATATAGATCAATGCATTTCAGTTTAAGACAAAAAAGAGGAGGAAGGTAAGAGAAACAAAGAAGCAACAAATTCAACCAATGGAATTGCGTCGAATTAGAGAATTCAAATTTAAACTGTAACGTCGCGAGCTATGTTTCCATGGCAAAAATTTCCTGTGTTCGGAGAAAATTATTCATGGAATGTAAAGAAGTAATATAATATTTAATAAAACAGACTTTACAATATAAATTAGAATACCAAACAAACCTTTATATTAATTATACTTTTTTCATGTACGTGCGTGTGTGTGTGTGTATGTGTGTTTTATTGAAAGCGACAGTTTTCCTATTTTACTTATAGTTTTCTTTTATAAGGAATTAGAGATTGGGCAAATTGTCCACAGTGATTACTGTCCCAAGCGCATTCAGTTAATTCATCAAAGGTTTTGTTGCTAATATGTTTTCCTGTGTTTGGTATTTAAGGCCATGTTGTATAGAACTAGGAGCATTACCGAATTGGGGTGCCTTCGAAACATTTCTAACACGATCCGACTCACTTCAAAGAAAGTAATATGTGTTGGCTTGTAACTGCTCGTAGATACTGCAACATGGAATTCACCTATCTATGGTTTAAATATCTAGGCAGGCTGGGCTCTTTAACCAGTCTAAGCGAAAGAAAAGTTTGAATTCTAAACTGGTTGGGCTTAGAGTTGGCAACAAAATCCCGTAAAAAACCTACGAGCTACGAGAACCACAGCATCCATGCTTAGAAAGCTGTGGCTACATAATCCCCAGTGGAGTCTACGGGACTTGAGTGAGTAACATGGATATACTTTTATTTCATTATTAACATTAAGTGAATGATTTCAAACGAGTATCCCCACACTTTCCACCGTAACATAGATTCCCTGTGCCTTTTCTATCATGGTAAATGTTATGAACTTTCCTCTATGTTACCTGCATAGAGACTGTGAGGTATTATGGTAGCTGTAGTAAGAATGGTAAGTAACAATGTGTTGTTTTGGTGTAAAGAATACTGTGATATATCTCGTTCAGTAATTGCGGCTACCCAAGTTTAAGATAAGACAGATTGAAGCCTTCTCTTATCTCGCCTTTGGGCTTGTGCTACATTTTTGTATTAAAATAAATATTACTTTCCTGTATGATATCAAGATTTTATGAACTTAAACGCAGTACTAGATTGGCGGAAAGGTCTCATCATTTTAAGTTTGAAATGGCTAGATATAAGCGTAAGTTCTATGCTAACAGTTTCTTCTATCGCACTTCTCACTTGTGGAACACTCTTTAATCTTCAAAAATTTAAATAAATCTCAATCGTTATTTTCTGTCTTCTTAATCGCTGTTCTTTTATTGTTAGCTCTTCTTAATAATATTTTTCTTGTTGTCTTATTTTTCTTCACACACAGCAACCCCTTGCGACTTAGTGGGGTTTTTTGACTTGCTTGATGTGAAATTATAAAAAAAAAACTTGGCATTTTCATCGCTAATGTTTTCTAAATCTCAAACGATTATATCGACGGATTATAACGGTTACTCGATTACTGTGGAAATTTTGAATTTGTCACGTTCTTAATACGATCTATCTCTCTATCTATCTATCTATCTATCTATCTATCTATCTATCTATCTATTTATCTATGTATCTCAGTCTCTTCCTATCTATCTATCTATCTATCTATCTATCTATCTATCTGCCGGTATAGAAATACATTTGCAATAAAGACTATTGATGTGGAGTAAATTTAAAGCCACCTCCAATCTGTTTCTATTCTTTGAGAACTACAACAGTTCCAAAGACAGTATGCCTTAAATGGTAATGTTACTCTTATATTGGTAGCGATCTCTTTTCAATGCATCTTCTCCTGCATACCTTTAAGTTAATGGTTAATGTCTGGCTGCTGTTAGATGTCAAATCTTTGTCTTGACGCATTTTTAAGATAGTAATTTCTAATTTTTTTTCGCTTAGTTTGAATCTAACGTAGGTCATATTTGATTAGTTGATAAAGGCAAACGCTCAAGCCTTTATTTTTTATTTTATTATTTCTTTTTTCAAAAAATGAGGATGTATTTTGTTTTTGAATTCAAATTAATGGTTCACTCGCCAGTAATTTGCAATCGCCTGAGGAGACGCATCGTTATGTGTTGAAACGCGACTGTAATTGTGTAGCGATCCTTACATGTTTTTGTTGCAATATATATATATATATATATATATATATATATATATATATATATATATATATATATATAAAAAAAGAAGAAGAGAGGTGCCGCTAACGTTTTTGGTTGTAATGTGGATTTATTTAGAAAAAATATTATGCTTTGTTTTACATAATTTTACGACACGTGTTTCTAGTCTCGCGACCGTCTTCAGGTAAAAGTGGAGATTTCTACATATTATTAAAAATAATTAATTTTTCTTCATGTTCAATGTGAAATATTCTCGATATGAGACATTCTCTGTTTGTGTGTTGGTAATCCGAATTTCTTTCGAGAATTGTCAATGAAGAGTTCTGCGCGAAGGGTCATAGCGGCACCTCTCTTCTCTTCTTTTTAATAAACATACTTTTCTCTCGTTGGAACCACTACAACATATTTCTTTTATATAACTACAACGAAAGAATGCCGCGAACTGAAAAGAAAATCATGGAAGAACTCCTTGAGTTCTTCAAACTTACCAACCAAAAACAGGAACTACTGGAGGAAGAAATACAGAAATTGAACAAAAATGTGGAAGCTATTCTCCTACAAATAACATCACAACAAACCAGGGAACACAACTGCAATACAGAAACACTAATAGAACATTTCAAAACGCAGTTCGGATACCTGGAAAATATTTAAAAGTTACACATCCAAGAGGAAGCGTACCGAATGAAAAAACAGAATCTCCAACTTTGGAACGACATGCTCAATCAAAGAAAACTGGCATATTTCAACGCCATCAAAAATAAAGAAACAGCAAAAATATACAAAACCTTCATAGAAATGGATGAAATATTTATTCCAAGGAAATTGCGCGAAAAGATTAACCCACAAGACACGGAAAAACAAAAACAAATAAAAAACACACTAAGCCTAACAAAAATACAGGCCCAAATTGAAATACAAGAAGACAAAACAATAAACTTTACAAAGAAATACACAGAGATTGATAACAAATTATTAACAAAAATCAAGGAATTATGTACCAAAGAAACTCACCAATTCCTGTTTGAATTATGGGAGTCAAAATGTAAAAAAGAGGAAGAAAAATCTCGGGATATCTTGGAAAGCAAGATAACCTGGTTAAAAGCATTACCAAGTAAAGAAAAATTGGAAAATGAGACAAAAACAAAAAATACAGTCCAAACTCACAAAAAACCCCAATACCCAACACAAAACAATCATCAGCAAATACAGAGAAAACCACCCAACAGAGTCAAAAACCCGAATCCCTACCCACCCCCACACACAAACAGACCCACAAGGTAAGCACTCTAACACATTCTACCATACGCAAACACATCCACAAACAAACTCACAAAGTGATTATCCTAACACATTCTACTACACGCAAAGCAGGAACCCCAATACATACCACCACCACACGCATTCACATCCACATAAAAAATACAATTATGAACATACACTGAACAGCGCAAAAATAAACCTGTACAGACCACCACACCATAACACAAACAGTCAAAGATCAGAACACACACACATTCACACAACCAACTCTTACAAATACCACCTAGCACAACAAACCAAACCTGACAACCATTACCTATATCCAGGAGTACAACCAGAATTTCACAAAAAGTTCTACACACAATCCACATACAATCAATAAAAAAACAACAAACCTAGAAACATCTGGAACAGGCCCCCTAACAAAAGCAAGCACACCTATATAGAGCCATCGAGAAACAACAACCCCAATTTTACCAAGGGAAACTCTCACTGGCTAGAAAACTCAAAATGTACAGGAAGAAGGTATCTCTTAGAAAACCCAAGATATATTAAAAGAAACAATCATTATTTTTTAGAAGCCCCAGTCCGAACAAGAAAACCAGTTTAGATGACACAAAACCCAAAATAATAAACCTATCTACATATACACTAACAAATGACGAAATCAACCTACTGAAATTGGGCCTAAAATTCTGCCCTGCTCCTAAAAGCAATATAGTAGACTTAAAAAAAGACATTAAGGAATTTGAACGCAAATTGAGACTAAGAGAAATATTTAACAATAGCGAAAATAGTACAGATGAGTCACTAGTAAAAATCAAATCCAATTTATTCCCAAACAAAAATAACAATACCAATGAGATAAATATATTTTTTGAAAAACTCTGGAACCTCGACCTACAGGAAAAATCCAAACCATTCGACAATCTCACATATAGACAAAGACTAGCCTTAGAGAACATTCGAAAAAATAATAACATAATTATAAAAGAAGCAGATAAAGGCAGCGCTATAGTAATCATGGACAGAACATACTATAAAACAAAAATTTTAGAAACACTAGAGGATAGGAACAGCTACAAAGTAATTGACACTAACATAGACAAAAACATTATAACAAAAATTACAAAACTCTGCACAACACATAATAAAATATTAACAAAAAAAGAGAAGGATTTCCTAATAAACTTTGTACCAAAAACAAGTAATTTCTACGGACTACCTAAAGTTCATAAATCGAGTGAAATAAAAGCAGCTATACAGACACAAAAATCTGAATACATTAGCATCCCAAACCCCAGTGACCTTACATTCAGACCAATAGTAGCAGGACCAGTCTGTCCCACTAGCAAACTCAGTAACCTAATAGACATAATATTGCAACCATATACTAAACAAATTAAAAGCCACATCAGAGACGATATCCACTTCCTTAACTGCATACCACAAAAGGTAGATGCGGGAACGCTTATGGCAACTTTGGACATTAGTAGCCTATACAGTAACATACCCCATGAACTAGGAAAAAAAGCGATCTCATTCTGGATTGAAAAACATCCAGAAATACTACATCCGAGATTCACTAAAGAGTTCATTATCGATAGTATAGACCTAATTCTAAACAATAACACCTTTGAATTTGACAACGAAAACTATATCCAAACCCTAGGTACTGCGATGGGGAAAAATGGCACCAACATACGCCACCCTAACATTAGCTTACCTAGAAGAAAACCTCTATGAAAAGATAGAACAAATATATGGGGCAAATATAAAGACCCAATTCACTAAATCTTGGAAAAGATACTTAGATGATTGCTTCATCTTTTGAAAATCCTCATGGGGTGATATTAACCAATTCCACACACTACTTCAAAACTTACACCCAAAAATCAAATTCACGCAAGAATATAATTTTAACAAATTACCATTTTTAGATATACTCATTAGAAATAAAAACAATCACATAATCACAGATATCTACCACAAACCCACAGACACCCAACAATACCTTCATTTCAAGAGCCATCACCCAAAAAGCTGCCTAAAATCCATCCCCTATTCCCTAGCACGTAGAATTTGTACAATAGTGACTGATAAACATCTCCGAAAAATCCGCTTAGAAGAACTACATAAAACTCTCAAGAAACGAGGCTACCCCACAACACTAATAAACAAAGGTATTGGACTCGCGAAAGAAATTCCTCTAGACCAACTTAGAAATAAAAAGAAACGTAACGTCGAACAAACTCTAGCATATGTCTCAACGTACAACAAAAACAATCCAGAAATATTCCCAGAAATCACAAAAAAAATCTAGATTTACTTAGCAAGAATAATAAACTGAATAATATACTAAAAACAACCAAAATAATTAAGAGCAAACGCCAATCTAGAAACCTAAAACACATATTAACCTCATCTAAATTTAACCAACACCAAATACAGGGAGTCACAAAATGCAACAAAAAAAGATGTGGGGTTTGTGACATCATTATAGAAGGAAATTCCTACACTTTTGAAAACCCCCCAAAAAACATTCACAATAAATAAAAACTTAAACTGCAACTCCAAAAATGTAATTTATGCACTTCAATGCACAAAATGTAAGAAGTCATATATAGGCATCAGCCAACAACTGAACAACAGGGTCTCCCTACACAAAAGCAATATAAAATTGGCAGACAACAGAAAACTTTTTGTATCACAACACATTTTCAAATGTAACCAGGGTAAGTTTAATATCATGCCGATATATCAAACAGACAATTACTCGTATCTACAAATACAGGAAAAAAACTTTATAGACAAATTTAAACCCGAACTAAATAGATCGTAACCCCCCACACAAAAACACACAACATGCACACAGGGTGACCAAATACAAAATACAATGATCAAATCGCTCACATACATGGACGCGCACTCATATACGGGAGACACGAGGAGATATATATATATATGTATGTACACATACATACATACATTTATGTATGTATATGCGGATGTTGACAACTTAAGAAGTACGTGTGTGTGTGTGCGTGTGTGTGTGTGTGTACTGGTTCCATGTAGCCTGGGAAATATGTGTGTATATGTGTGTATGTGTGTGTATACTGATTACTTGTGGTGGGATAGTGTGTATGTGCGTATGTGTGTGTATGCGTGTATAGGTATAAATAAGTTTACGAATTCCTCGTAGTAAGACAGTATATGTATGGAGGGGAAATATACGCACGCATATATACACGCATGCTGACAGGAACATACCAAAATGGAAACAGATCCAAGAGCACATAGGGGTCACTAAAACATTAAAATGCCGATAACTACTCGCTGGACCAACCTTAATTGTTTTATGACCCTTCGCGCAGAACTCTTCATTGACAATTCTAGAAAGAAATTCGGATTACCAACACACAAACAGAGAATGTCTCATATCGAGAATATTTCACATTGAACATGAAGAAAAATTAATTATTTTTAATAATATGTAGAAATCTCCACTTTTACCTGAAGACGGTCGCGAGACCAGAAACACGTGTCGTAAAATTATGTAAAACAAAGCATAATATTTTTTCTAAATAAATCCACATTACAACCAAAAACGTTAGCGGCACCTCTCTTCTCTTCTTTTTAATATACATACTTTTCTCTCGTTGGAACCACTACAACATATTTCTTTTTTATATATATATATATATATATATATATATATATATATATATATATATAAATTTCCAAGAGGATAGAATCCAGGTAGAGCTCAGTGTCCAGTACAGATCAAGAATATAGTATAAAAATAAACTTAAAAATTCAAAAGGCTTTTTGAATTTGTTGGTCTGGTGAATTGGATCGTGATTACGATTACAAAGTAATAAATTATAACCATGGACTATTAGTGTTTGAGCCTTTTAAATTATATATATATATATATATATATATATAATTTAAAACATGATATCATCCGATCACGCTACCTTGGGGTTAACCTTTCGGTATTTCCTGGCGATCCGGCTAAATAATTTCCTAAGCGTTAGGAAATTATTCAACCCGGATCACCTGAAGATACCGAATATATTTATTCATTTTAAAATTAATATTCCTCTACATTGAATTGAGCCCTCTTTTAAATTAATTGCGTGTGCGTGTGTATGTGTGCGTGCATGTTTGTATGTGCGTATTTCCACCTGTCTTTGTTTGTTCCTTACTATCTATCTATCTATCTATTTTCACCATTTCATTCTGGTGGGATCACGAAGTTTTGACGATCTAAAAACACAGGCTACCAGCCTCCCACTGGCAAACACATGCATCAATGACATCTGCATTATTAGTGATAGCTCAACACGTTTTTTACACGATTTAATGAGAACAATTGTATTATTATAACCATTACTTTTGTGGATATAAGCATTTGAGGAGAAATCCTCATTTTTTTTATCAAACAGTGAAATTAAGGTTCACGTGAAACAGAAAATGTTATTAAAGTTAATGTAATTATTTAATAAGAATGGATATTAATTCAAAAGAAAAAAAGAAAACCCTTAGGATGTCCACTCAAATATGTGTATCAACTGACAATAACGTTTGTAGTAATAAAAATCCACTAATTTATACCAGGCCAAGTAGACAGGTTTGTTCGGAAACATGTAGCCGGCCATTACACACACACACACACACACACACACACACACACACACACACACACACACACACACATTCGTAATGTTGTTTTTATCTGGCGTATATCATAAAGAAAGATATATTGAAGGCAACTAACCTAACTAACGTGATTGTATAAACAGGGACTGCGAGAGTGAGGAAAATGATAAACAATGCTTAAAGTTACAAAGGATAGGAAGTTACAGAGAGCCATAATCACCCAACTCTTGAAAAACACGTAACATACAAGATGTACTTAAATAAATAATAATTAGAAGCATCCGTAGTTTTCATATATATATATATATATATATATATATGAAAAGTTTGTGAAATCAATTTTCCTAGTTTCAAAATTTTTCCCACAATTTGTAAATGACATTATTGACTGCATAAGAGTAAAGTAAACTTCAAAAACACTCAAGATTTCCCTAACCTTGCACAAAAGATATCACAAAAAAATAAATTGTCTGTATAGCTTTGACAGGTTTCTAAATGAGCTTTTGTAATGTCTATATTGATTGGATAATGTTAGCTAGTTGTTATCGTTTATAAATGTATCATTTTGGAGTTATAGCATAGATAGATTAACAATATTGTTCAAGATTTAATTCAATATACAGAAATATCTTATAAAAACTGTTGTGTCAAATTGAGGATTGAATTTCTATGGATATTTTATCTCCTCACTAATGTAAATGGAATTAAAAAAAACCCAAAAAAACATCAACAATCTGAAGAGAGGATTTTATTTCATTTTCTACAGAGATTGTATTTAGAATAAGACAGAATGATTACCTTATCAAGTGACTTAAACCCAGGGTCACAAACTCACATCTAGATATATATATATATATATATATATATATATATATATATATATATATATAAGTTTCATTGAAGACTACTGTCAAGGCAATGTCATTAAGCTTTTTATTAAACAAGTCATTTTTTTTTCTGATATAGACTGTAAAATTGTCCAAATGATCGAGCATTTTCGACATATTCATTAGTTTTGTTTTGTTTTGTTTTTTTTTAGGAAGGATTACTTTTTCTTTAACTGAAAATGTACCAACATCCTTATCAAGATTATTAAAAGTCGAAACACATCTTTCCATTGTAATAAGTTACCCAGTGAATACTGAATTAACAATGTTTTGAGGTTCTACTTTTTAACAAATAGGAACATGGATACATACATTGCGTGTATGTGGATGTAACGGGATTTTTATCCTAGTTTAAGTTTCTAACTATTTTTTTTTAACTAATATACATAAAAATATATATATATATATATAAGGTTTGCTGTTTTATATATATACACAGGATATAGCTTATTCGCTGATATATATATTGCCTCATTGAATATAGAAATATGTTGGATATATATTTACAGATCGTTTATTTTAGATATTCTATCAAGAAAAGAAATCACTTGTATGAATGGAAGAAAAGTTTATAAAAAACCATTAATCGCAGGCCATTGTCACTCGATTTCAATGAAACTGGTATAAAAGTATGATTGCTCCCCAAATCCACAATTAATATTATTATTAATATTAATATTAATATTAATGCTGTTTAATTAAAAACAAAGCATTTCAAATAAATTGTATCTATAAAAAATAACGTATGAACAGAAAATATATTAAATCATAGGTTTAATCCATTTCATTAAATGTTGTCACTGTTTACGTTAGATACATTTCCTGAACAGAAATGATTGATCGAGAAAAATCGTCGAAGATTGTATGTTGTATTTGGGATTTTTAACTAGACGCTTCTCTGTAGCGAAATGGTAGCACGTTCAAATGATAGTTCTTTGAAGTCAACACTCAGAGACGACAGGGTTTCATGCTAAAATGGTCCCCGCGAGTGTTGTGTTTTTTCTCGACGGTTTATATATATGGGTCAATGGTGCATTGTGGGTAGTCCATTCTGCGGTTATTTTGAAGGGAGTGTCGCATGTTCAGAGACCTGCGAAATCATACGTATGTATTTGCTACACGAACTAAGCAAAATAATAGATAAAAATGATACAAGACTCTACAGGAACGACGGTCTTATAATCTTACGAAACTATAACAAACAAAACACAGACAAAAAACTAGACGCCAGTATGGATAACCCAGAATGGACTAACCCCAATGCACCACTGACCCATATATATAAATAGTCGAGAAGAAACCAAACACTCGAGGCCTGACGATTGCGTCTAGCATGAAACAGCCTGTCGCCTTTGAGTGTTGACTTCAATGTTCACTTTTATATTTACATACGCTCTATTTCTGATTTTGAGCACTTTATCCCATAAATATAGCACACGTTAAATTTCTTTATATATATATATATATATATATATATATATATATATATATATATATCGATTGGCTAGTAAATCTATTTATTGATCATTGAATCAATAACCTGATAGTTTATTGCCACACTACCTCTAGACAGTTTATTCTAAACCACTAAAAGTGGATTATCAATGTTCGTTGTAAGGTAACTCTCCACAATAACGTTATGTGCATAAAGTATCATAAGTCTAACATCTCTATGTTTAATGGTCATCTTTTAAAAGCATCAAACAGCCATCGATAAAAAACGAGAAGAACTTAAAATAAACTTTTTCTAAAACGCTTTCCTAATTCTTCGTTCGTTCCATTTTTCTTTTAATATTTTTTTTTCGAAAACTCTTTTGTATCATATTCTTTTTCATATTTTCTTTATCTGTATTTCACATCAGAATTCTTGCTATAATTCTTTCGTCTTTTTTCTTTCTTTTTTTGTTGCTATCTATTGATTTTTTGCAGATTTTCATCTTTCTTTCTTTCTTTCTTTCTTTCTTTCTTTCTTTCTTTCTTTCTTTGTTCTTATCTATTGATATATCTCAATCTTTCTTTCTTTCTTTCTTTCTTTTAATCCGTCTCAGTCTTTTCAACTTTCATTCATTCATTCATTCTTCCGTCTTTCCTTTTTCGTTTTTATCTAATGCTTCATTTTACTTGATTCTTCTTTTATTTGTCTTCCCTTCATTTTACATTTTGTTTTTAAACTTTCTTCTTTTTCATCGTTTATTTTAATATTTATATTCATATTTTTTGTTTGATTTAAAAAAAAGTCTTGCATTAGTTCTTTCTTTCTTTTTTTTATACAGTTTTTAATTCTCTATATTTTGTATGCATTTTGCTTCTTTCTTTATTTCTAACATTTTTCCTATTCATATTTTTCTTTTTTTAAATCTTTCTGTTGCTTCTTTCTTTCTTTCTTTCTTTCTTTCTTTTGTTCATATTCGTGTTATTTCATTTTTAAATCTATATATTGCTTCTTTCTTTCTTTCTTTCTTTCTTTCTTTCTTTCTTCCACTTGTTTCATTATTTCATTCTTTGCTCCCCTTGCAGAATATATTTAATACAGTTGACTTCAACAGATTTGTGTGTCCGTGCGTTCGTGTGTCCCTAGAGGAAGACTTCATCGTGTAGTGAGAAAGGAGTTTATTATTATCAGTCACGGTATTATTAACGAGAATGCCGACTGTGCTATCAAAGATGATGATAACAACGACAGCGCTAAGGATTATGTTGGCGACTGACATTTTAGTCATCGTTTGAAAAGCCAGGGAGGCTGTAGTAATGAAAATGGAGGTTAACTTAAAGGAAGATAAGAACTCCTAAATATCTTCTTCTAGATCATTATTATTCAATTAAAATATGACAATCATCATCATCATCATCATCATCATCATCATTATCAAGTCACATGACAGAGTGTTGTTGTAGGGTCTCTGAGCAGCTGAACAACTGATCAGTTCCCCCTCCTCATATCTGAGTTGTAACCTGGAGAGGTATCATTTATGCGTAGTGTGTTTTGAGCAAGCAGACTTGGCGGATACCATCTATCTCCAGGTCAAATCTCGGGTGATGCCATCCAACTTGAAGGCTCGCCTTGTTCTCGGACACGTAGCCGTAGATTCAATTCCAGAAACCTTTTGATTTAAGCCTGTTGATTTCAGTCCATGGATCCCTATGCCCAGCGATGCTGTTTCATCACCGCACTTACACAACATCTATGGAGTCCAGTCTATTACGCAAGATGGCCGCTGACCCTATAAGAAGACTCATCTGCCATTTTATGGGATTTTGTTTTTATTCCTGTTCGGGGTCTAGCTATCCTTGCAGATGTAGTACTGGTTTACAAGTTACCAGTGGTAATGGTAATATTCGCCGTTTCCCTACAAGGAAATAATTGGCATTTATTTACCGAGAAGCCAGTACTGTTTTTGGTTGAAATTTAATAATTTTTTCCCTTAATTTTTTTTCCTGGAAAATAGGTTTCTGAAGTCCAGTAACTGTTATCGCTCTTTCCAGTATCGGCGGGGGTTTCTTTCCTAACCTTTTTTCTGAAGTAGTGTTGAACGTAAACATCTGGATTGTGTCATTATTTTCTCTACGAGTCAAATGTCCTATCCATTTTAGTTGTTGCTGTTGTTGGTAGTCCTTAACTGATGTGGTTTCTATTATTTTGGTACAGTTCAATGTGAATCTGTAGCACCAGTCCATAATTTTTCCAATAAAACCCTGAGGCTTCATTCGTTCAGCCATTTTTAACTATTGATTTTTCAGAAGATTTCAGGTTGATATTTTGGTTTTGTAGCAATTGGCGGTGTTGAGTGAAACTACCTTTGGCGAAGTCTATACTAAATTCAATCTCCTTTTCTTTTTTTACTAAATGTCTTATACTTGATACTTACGTCGAGGTATTTGAAGTGTTTAGTATTCACTAATTCCATATCCCAAACTTTTATGATGGATTCAGGGTATGTTTCATCACTGCATTTAGTCCAATTCCTGATCATAAAAGTTTTGGAAAGGTTTATATTGAGTCCTATTTCTTGAAACAGTTGTTAGAGGATGCTGATTTCCTGCAAGGTCATTCTGATTCCAACTATGATAACTATGTTATAAACATAGGTCTCTTCATCATCAGTCCACTGGATTCTGGAGGGAAAGCAAGATCATTGTCTTCTATCAGTAGATTCACAAGGAAGAAAATGGAATTAAATGCAATTTTTTATATGTCGAGGTCATAATTCTTCACATAAAATTCATCAACATGAAGACACTTTTGTCAGCGATTATACCAGACATTTATACACGCAAGGAAGAAAAAGGAATTAAATGTAATGATTTTTTATGTTTAGGCCTTAATTCTTCATAGAAGATCCATCAACATGAAGACATTATGTCAGCGATTATACCAGACATTTATACACGCAAGGAAGAAAAAGGAATTAAATGTAATGATGTTTTATGTTTAGGCCTTAATTCTTCATAGAAGATCCATCAACATGAAGACACTTCTGTCAGCGATTATACCAGACATTTATACACGCAAGGAAGAAAAAGGAATTAAATGTAATGATTTTTTATGTTTAGGCCTTAATTCTTCATAAAAGATCCATCAACATGAAGACATTATGCCAGCGATTATACCAGACATTTATACACGCAAGGAAGAAAAAGGAATTAAATGTAATGATTTTTTATGTCTAAGCCTTAATTCTTCACATCAGTTCCATCAATATCAAAACACTTCTCTCAGCGATTTACCCGACATTTATACACGCCAAAAATACCTGAGAATACGAAAGAAGCTCTTTTTTATCATCATTAATGGTTCTGAAAGGGATATATTTCATTTTTTTTGTAAAAGAAGGAAAGATGAAAATATTTTCTCAAAACAGTTCATTAATAATCAGATATTGCAGTCAAGAATACGGTTAAATGGTAATTTCTTGTAAAACAATATAATATACGAAAGCCATGTTAAATCAGCACATCACAAAGAAGAAATATACATAGTAGCAAGTGAAGGAGCCTTGAGAAAGTAATAGTCACACAAATCTTTTCCTAGTAGCAAATACGCTAATATCAAAATCTTATATGGGAAATTAAAAGCAAAATACACCAGGAATATCATAGAAAATAAGGCAAACAGCACCAGCCTACAACAATAAATCCCAAAACTGTAAACTCTTCTGTCTGGAGAAAATAGCTATAAACCTCTTCCCAAACCAACACAAATTACAAAATAAACGATCAGAAATTATCTCAAACTGCAGGCACAAAAAAAAATTTACTACGTTACTTAAAAATTGGAACGTACAAAATGAATACCTTGTAAAACATTACTATAAAAATGCTAATATATGCATTATACATTTTGTGACGTACGGTGGCCGTTAATAATTAAGTATATCTCATGATTTCAATGTTAAGATAAAACAATATTTAATTACAACTGTAAATAAATACTTAACAAGAACAAATAAGTAAAAGTCATTCAAAGATAACCATTTCAGTGGATACATTGTTAGTAGCGCGGCTCAGCTTAACGTCCGGTAAAACTGAAATCAAAACTCAAATCATCGACGCACAATAATTCACACTAATTCAACTGGATAGTTCCACTGAATAGTCACTCAATAATCACTCCAGTCAGTAGCCTGACACCGCTATTTATACAACTGGTGTTAAATATATATTCATAAGTCTAGAGTGTCATGCTCGAACCTAGGTGTCGGTAGTTACTCATTTTTTTCCTATATGACAATAAACAATGCAGATAATGTAATATACTTTAGACAAAGCCAATACTTTTAAATTAAACAAATAAAATAACAACATCTTAATAAATAATCAATATTTAAAATAAATAAATTAATTAAAAAATTACGTAAATAAATAATAAACAAATTAGCAAACTACAAATGCTAACATAAACACATTTAAATGCTACAATAATCGACAAAAACAACAAAATATGAATTTTGGACGGTTTATCTATAATTTTGATTCGAAATGTATTAGAAAATTTGAAAAATAGAAAAAAAGGTTGACAGACAGACCTTATCGTTTTAATTTAACAAAATTTACTTAAATGAATACTTGTTGAATAAATATACGTCACACACACACACACACACACACACACACACACACACACACACACACATATATGTGTGTGTGTATATATATTGTAGAATTTACCAATGAAAAGAAAATCATTTGTGTCATGCATTGTTTTGTCTTTGCTGGTCTACAAATGTCGGTCAGTAGCCGGTGCAGCGGGAAAAAGTTCACGAGACAAAGGTCAGGTTTGACACGCGCGCTTGGTATCTCGGTCAGAATGTCCTTCTCTCTTCTACCCACAACCCCTTATAATTTTCTAGCTTGTTACATCTCTTATACTAAGGTCCATTTTCTTTTCTTTTTTTTTTACATGAATCCATCATCGGTATTGTATTTTCTCATTTTCACATTCTTTGCATTGAACTCTCTCCCATAGACAGCCTTCTACTTCTTCATTGTATTTGTACTAAATCGGTCCTAAAGAGGTTCGACGTACAAAACGTTAGGAACTTGATATAATAGGTATTACGCAGAGTAATCTTGTTGTGGTCGCTGACTACTTTCGTATTCGACTAACTGTCAAATACTGTCGTCCGACATCGACTAGTATTTAGGGTATCATGTGGCACAAGGCCGGTTTAACGTGGTATCTCCGAGCCCGTGTGCTCGACCAAAAATATACCCATTGAACCCGAAAGAGAATCCGCCCTTCGGCGTAGCCTCCTTCGGGTTCCTCCCCGCACGAAGGCAGAGAGTTCAACCGTTCAGCCGGTCGTCCGACATCGACTGACCTTCGTTTCTCTTACTATTCCTACTTATATTAGGTGGGAGAGTCTATTAACTCTAGAATAGGTGTGTTTCACCATAACAGATACACAATGATGCGTTGAAACATAAAAGAACCTTGCTTTGCTGTAGAGACTTCTATGGCCGAACAGTTAAAGCACGTCTAGTTAAAAGACAGTTTCTAAGCATAACGTCTATACCCACCAAATAATTCCAGGAAAAACCACACAGCCAACTCTGGTTCACCTCTTAATGTGCTGCGGCCATGCCCCACCGAAACCACTTCTTCAATGTCTATCGCAAGGAGCGATGTAGTTCGACCCTCACTGCATTCAGAATTGCCCCAAAACGCTTTAAAAAGTTCTAGAAAACGCCAAGTACAGTTACGCAAGAGCAATCCAGACCAAGGTCGAAAAGAAATAATTTGCATCCCGTGAATTCTGGAAAATCACCAACCAAATTATGAACAGAGTTAAAGCGGATTATAAATGGCTCCGAGGTCATATCCTCCTCGATAGTTAAGGCGAAGATCTTCGTTTCTATCTTTGCCTCTAACTCTACATTAAATGACAAAGACGATCCCCTCCCCAAGTTCACACATCTCACTGAGTTTTTCTCAGTAACATTACCATCACAGCTCGAGAAATCTCTAGACTTATCAAAGGCGTCGACCTTAAGAAAGCCACTGGTCCAGACAAAATTCCAGTGATTGCCCTTAAGAATATCAACCCGGAATTATCTAAAACACTAGCAAAGTTATTCAACCGTTGCTTGAAGGAGAAATCCTTCCCAAGCCCATGGAAAGTGTCAAGCGAATGACCAGTTTTCAAGAATGCGGGTGCGCTATCTTCCAGTACAGAACCATCAGTCTCCATAGTAAGCTTTTTGAGGTCATAAACAATAAGAAGGTCGTCGAGCACCTAGAAAAGAACAACCCCTTCAGCGACGAGCAGTATGGGTTTCGGTCGGCCCCATCCACCTCTGATGTCTTAACTGCCATCACTCACAGAATCAGTGAGACTCTTGACGACAAACACATCTCGAGGACCATAGAATTCGATATATCAAAGGCCTTCGACAAGGCGCGGCTTAAAGGTTTACTACACAAGCTCTCCAGTTGTGGAATCACTAGAAGGGCCTTCTCGACCATAAAATCCTTCCTAACAGGTAGGTTCTTGAAAGAAGTTATTAATAACCATACCTCCGGTGTCCTAGCAGTCAACGCCGGCGTCTCACAGAGGGTCACTTCTTGGACCGATCTTCTTTTTTGATCTATATAAATGATCTGCCTAAAAAAATACTCAGATCTTTTGCAAACATCTAAACCGACGATACGACTGTATATGGGTGCACCTTTAAAACTCTCGATGGCCAGAGATTGGTGACTGATCTCTCTTCCAATCTTGTACAAACTACCCATTGGGGTAAAAACTGGCTTTGTTACATTCAACATCCCGAAGACCGAGCTAGTTATGTTACGTCATCGCCGAGCTGACCCCGAAGTACCATGGATGAACAGAGGCCCTCCAAGGGAATCACTTTGCCTTGAAAGGCTGTTGGGCCTCAAAATCACACCTAACCTCTAGTGGAACTCGTACATACGATCCGTTGCTAAGGATGCAGGTAAAATGGTCGGCTCTCTGTACCACCCCAGTAAGTACCTGACTCTTCATTTTTAAGACCAGACCGAAAATGGAGTTGTCATATCTGTGTGGAAGGTGCCAAGACCTTACACTCCAGCCTTGGCAGATTCCAAAAGCGTCTCTGAGCCTTTGTGGGTAACGAACTATTCTCCACCCTTTTCTACTGGCGGGATGTTGTAAGCCTCTCGCTGCTCTACAGCTACTTCCATAGAAAGTGCTCGGACGAACTACATTCCCTGGTTCTTCCACGACAGACCTTCAAGGCAAGAACCCGCCATGATACCCGCATTCCCGCCATAATCCTTCGGTGAGAAGTAAGTTCCACTCGAGCAGCTTCTTCCCGTGAACCACTGCCCTGTGGAATAGACACCTTACAGGAGGTTTCCCCGTTGACTACAATCTTAACCTATTCAAGGCTGGGGTTAATCGTTATCTCCCTCACCTATGCACACAAATGGCCGCCAAACGTAATCCTCTACCTCGAGTGGTCCCGCGCCTTGTAAATGGCGACTCTCATTGTAAAAAAACACACAAAAAAAAAAAAATCAGTTGAACATGCAAGTTACACATGACTATAGCTATTTATCAAGTTTAGGTTTAGTTTCTTCCCGATGGTCATTCAGGATTAAAGAAATTAATTAGTAATTGTGAGCTTACAAATTATCGATCGATGGTGAAGTGTTTCAGTACACGAAGCTATGGACACACTACAGACAAATGCACGCCCATGTATTTCTCTCACAGGTAGACAGGCAAACATATGCATTGACATCTTTTGTTATGTCCCTTCAGGACGTTGGTGATGAAGGCTCTCCACAACATCCCTTCCCTTGTAGCTCTGAGTAATCTTTGTCTTTTTGCTATCTCTCCTAATCCCTGTTCTGTAAAACATTTACAGAAACTCTTTGGATAGGTGATTCGTTGCTTTTTTTTCTATCCTATAGTCCCCTTTCTTTTCTTCAGTAAGTACCCTAAAAATTTCGATTGTCTGTTTCTGATTTTGGTGTCTGGTGTCTTATCAAGTGATGATGCTGAATGCATTCAACATCATCACTTGATAAGACACCAGAGGTGTTGAAACAAAATGGGCATTTTGTAGTGATTTTATAACATATTTATGTTATATATTTTAAATAAATAATTATATAAATATATATATATATATATATATATATATATATATATATATATATATATATATATATACCTTTTAAAGACAATAAAAATAAAAGACAAAAGGAAAATTTTTCTTTTACCAACGTGTTTTCGTCCTATAAGGGACATTATCGAAGTAAATATTAAGATTTTATTTCGTAACTTTTAATTTATATAGCGAATTAAAGTGAAGGAAAGTATCGATAAAACACCGTTAGCGTTAAAAATATTTTAGAGCGTTCTTAATTTGAAAATTTGAAAAAATCCTATAAAAATACATATTACACATTTATCTTGATAGCATCCTTGAGGCGATAAAACGCATTGATAAAAGGCAAAAGTTTTCCTTTGGTATATATATATATATATATATATATAAATTCACAGGAGTTCTTTTTACTTGGGATTCTTTGTAACACATTTCCTCTTCTCGCAAAAATCGTATTTCCATTAACCGACATTGTCGGCGCTTTTAAAAGGTCAAGACTGCTGCCTGACCGAGAGAAGTGCGCCAAGTATTTGAATTGCTTGATGCCATTGCGATCCTTTTTAAGGGTGAGATTATTTTTTTTTATTCTTTTTGTTCCTTCTAACCTGATTGTACTTCTACTATATTGCGCATTTATCGTCTGCTTCCGATCCGTGTTTCTTTCTTTTTACCCCTTTTATTTTCGCTGTTTCATGTTCATGCAATTTAAATAATTCGTTACAGAATGTTATCTCTTCCTCTTATTTTTCTATTTTCTTTCTTTCTTTCTTTCTTTCTTTCTTTACTCACCTTTTAGGCCGTTTTCCTTTCTTTCTTTATTTTTTACTCGCATATTAGGTCGATTTTCTTTCTTTTTCTTTCTTCCTTTCTTTCCTCACATATTAGGACGTTTAGCTATCTTCCTTTCTAATTATGTCGTTTTTCGTTTCCTTCCTTCCTTTCTTTCTTTCTTTCTTTCTTTCTTTCTTTCTTTCTTTCTTTCTTTCTTCTTTTCTTTCTTTCTTTCTTTCTTTCTTTCTTTGCATATCAGGTTGTTTTTCATTCCATTTCATACCATTTTTTCGTTTACTTATAATTTATTCTTGATAGAATTTTATAACTTTTCTTAAACTCTTTTTCTTTCTTTTTTCTTTCTTTCATTAATCGCATATTATCTCGTTTTTCGATTTTCTTTTCTCTTTCTTTCTTTTATATCCCTTTTTCTTGTCCATATAATTCATGCATTCTTAATAATCTCTATAACTGTTAGTTTGTTTCTTTCTTTATTTCCTTTCTCTCTCTCTCTATTTCTGTCTTGCTTGCCTTCTTGCTTTCTTTCTTTTACCATTTATCTTTTTGCTTTTATTCTTGTATTACCATTTCTGTATTCCAACTCACGCTATCTAATCTTTCACCTGATATCTCCCTTGGACATAAATGCGCACTCCATTGTCCGCTGTAATTGCAGGCAGCGTTGGTTTTATTGGATGAGTCTCATCTTCGACTACGCGAAACGGAAAATAAACAAATGCTGATATTAATAGGCAAAAGAATACACACGTAAGTATAAAGTAGAATTAGGTTCGCGAGGTACATACCGCACACACACACACACACACACACACACACACACACACACATTTATATATATATATATATGTAATGTCGATTGGTGACGGCGATGTTTGAAAAATATAATTGACTTATTTTACTTTTCTATATACATACGATATATTTATATATGTAGATACGAAACCCCAAAAATAATGTAGGCACACACACACATACATATATATAAATGAGTATATATATATATATATATATATATATATATAAATGAATAAATCAATTAGTAATAAAGAGTCGTACTAGCATAATATATATATGTATGCTTGTATGAATGCATGTATGAATGTATACACACACACGCGCACACACAAACACACGCACACACACATATATATAAGCTAAGCACATGCAAATCTGTATCTTTCAAATGGTCTCTATTCAAGTCAATTGAATCGTATAGAGTATCTTTCAAAAGGAAGTGGAATAGATTTTTTTTACACACACACGCGCACGTATATATACATACATACATTCATATATATATATATATATATATATATATATATATATATATATATATATATATATACAGTGCTGCAAAAAGTAAGTGAACCCCAAGATAATATTTAAAATAATTGTCTCTTTTTCCAGATAGTCAACAAATCTTAATTAAACTATATATATTCATTAAGAAAAGCCTTTATTAAATGAATTACAATGAGTTTAAAAATTATTTATCAAGCTGGAATAAAAATATTAATTCAAAATTAAGATGTGCACAAGTGAACGCTTACATTGACTCTGTATTTTTGTTTTTTAATGGTTGTCAGTGCAAATAATTTTTTGTGCATAAGTAAAATGAAAATGATACATGTTCATCTTTTTGGTAAGCTGCGTATACTGCTTATATAACTCATTGTGTAAGCATAAGTGTGCAGTTAGAGACTAAAGTTTAAAAAATATATATGTAAAGATCAAAAGAACTTCCTGAAGCTTTAAAAAAAAAATCCCACATAATTGAAACCCATAATGATAGAGAAGACTACAAAAAAGCTATAAAAATGATTTGAAGTACATGCCTCCACCGTGCAACAAATTATTTATAAATGGAAGGCTTTTCGTATGACGGCATCACAATCAAGTGGCTGTTCACAAAAAATAACAGTAAGAGCAAGTAGACATCTAGTTCGGTAAGCCCAGGGAAATCCTGCTCTGACCTTTGTGGTTCTCCAATGTTCACTGACCAATGTCGGAATCAATGTGCATATATCTACAGTGTGACGAAATTTGAACAATGCCTATCTTCATAGCAGAATGCCTAAAAAAGGCCACTGTTTATGAAATAGCACAAGCTATTATGCAAAAGCTAATATTAATAAGCGAGAAACATTCTGGCAAAAGATTTTATGGTTGGATGAGACCAAATTAGAGCTTTTTGTGAAGAACAATAGGTGGTATATCTGGTGAGCTCCTAATAAGGCTTTTGAAGAGAAGAATTTAATACCAACAATTCAACATGGCGGTGACAGCATTATGATTTGAGGTTGCTTTGCTGCAGCTGGAAGAGGCAAAATAGTACACATTGATGGCACAATGAACCCTGCAAGATACCAAGCAATTTTGAATGAAAGTTTCTTGTCCTCAGTTCAAAAGTTTGGTTTAGGTCAGCACTGGATCTTCCAAGACAATGATCTGAGGCATTATAGCAAATCCATAAAAGAATGGGTTTGTAAAAAGAAATTTCAAGTCTTAGATTAGCCTAGTTGAAGTCCAGATCTAAACTCAATTGAAAATCTGTGAGTCAAATGAAAGATAGCAGTGTGCAAGAAACCCAGGCAAAAATCAAGCGACTGTGGGAGTTTTACCAAAAAGAATGGTCAAAACCGGCACTCACGACTGCGACAAAGTTCTTCAGATTATAGAAATAGATTGATTGACATTGTCACCTCAAAAGAGCAGTCACCAAATATTAAATGTAAGGGTTCACTTAATTTTGCAAATTTTAATTTTTAATTAATATTTTTATTCCAGCTTGATAAAATTTTATAAAGTGGATGTAATTTATTTAATAAATGTTTTTTTCTTAATGAATGTATAGTTTAATTAAGATTTATTGATTATCTAGAAAAATGAGAGAATTTAAAAAAAATATTATCGTTTGGGTTCACTTACTTTTGCACAGCACTGCCTACATACACAGTTTGTTCGTATCTATCTATCTATCTATCTATCTATCTATCTATCTATCACAATCTATTTATGTCTGTCTATCTATCACAATCTATTCCTGTCTATCTCTGTATCACAATCTATCTATCTATCTATCTATCTATCTATCTATCTATCTATCTATCTATCATTTTATACTCCAATTTGATGATGAGATTCACCAGACACATATGTTTCTGACAATTTTTGTTATTCGTTTGCCTGCAGTCATATATATAGTCATATACATGCAGTGGGCATATAAATATAAAGTTGTGGAAAGTTGTGCAAAAAAAAAAAAAAAAAATGCTTATTACCCCGATAAAAAAAAGTTTGCAACCATTTCTCATGAATCAATGTTAGTAACAAAGCCAAAGCAATGATCTTATTCTATAATACAATGCCTGCGCGCGTCTCAAACTAGCGACCGATTATTGAATAAACGAGAATAAAGCTGAAGGAGAGACTAAAATAGCGAACGAATTGAGGGTCTATTTCAAGGAGACTTTTTTTCCTGAAGTCTTTGTCACAACTAAAAAGACGCACTATTTCCCATAAACAGACATTTTTCGTCTTTCAAATACTCGATTTAAGACGAGCTGCAGTCCTTAGTCTCACCAGCTTTGACCGTTATAAACCTGACCCCCCCGCCATGCCGCGTATATAAAAGTGAATCGTCCCCATTCCCTTCGTATTCCATTAATAAGAAATAAGTTTGTTGTAACCTCGGGAAGGTTACTGAGTAGAATAATCAAACGAAGGTTGATAATGAACGATAATATTTAGGACAAGAACAACATATAAGATTTGCCAGCGGCGCGTAGAAGTAATCAACTGCTAGTGGTGAGTCAAGGGAATTCCACAATGAATCTCCAACTGCAGACCAACATACAGTATTTACTACTGTATTTATATGAATGGTGACATACCCATTATCGTCCATAGGTATGCTACAACAAAATTCGTCTCGAACTGATTCTTCCCAAGAACTGCTGCTGTGTAGAACGGTTTCAGATAGGATGGGGTCCCAATCATTATAATTTTGACCGCTTCAAATCTAGGGTTAACCTTTTTCTTTCCTACATAACACCATAAAATACATTTATTGCCTTTTTTACGCGCATATAACATCACATAGTAACCCTTACATTTGAAAAACTCTTGGACTTTGTAATAAGTGAATATTAATCTATATATAAAATTCTGTGACTTCCGTTAGTCTGTCCGTCCATTCCTCACACCCTTTAAAATAGCCTTACAGTGACCAATCGAAATCAAATTTTGGGGAGACGTGCAAATAGATAAGTGGGTACAAAGTACAGTTGTTTTTACTTAGATGCATAGCTTAGTACAATGAATTTTCATTCATTTTTGGGAAAAATTAAATCTTTATTATTTAACATACAAATACTTCCGCTATTTTAGAAAAAAAATCAATGATTCAAATAACAAATACGTAGTTAATACAGATGCAATATTGTTTTTGCATATCTTTCCTTTAGGCTTTTATATACAAGAATTTAGTTTCCTGTTCGCCCTGCGTTTGCGAGAACTATAAAAATCACAAGTCAAAACGCTTCAAAATTTGGAATTGGGCTCCAGAAAGAAATATTTACGCATGGTTGTATGTTGCATGCTCAAGAGTAAGAAATCCTAAAAATTTATTCTTCGCTGTTAAAAAAAAGGAAAAATAGAAATTTTCTTAAAAGTATTTTTTACCATGAAGTCCTATAAAATAAAATTAAATTAAAGAAATTATTAAACCGTGTAGTAGAGTTTTTGACAAAATGTTTTTCCAAACGAATCAGTTTCTTCAAATTTCATCGATTTGTTTACGAAATTGAACGAAACGTAGAGTTTGTAAATTTCGACAAATAATGTTAGCGATAAGTTGAACAATACTAAATACTGTGAAGATTCCAGTAATAAAAATGTGTTTTTTAATGCTGAAGTTCATCCAGTACAAGGCTCTAGTGCCACTCAGTGTTGATGGTTTACTTTTAAAATTGTTATGATGAATGAGCTGTGTGAATTTGCAAGAGAAGCTGGTAGAAAGTGATGATTGCATATATGTGATCGCGAAAGAAAGTCTATGGCTATTTGATTTGAGCTTGTATATAGGAGAGAAAGTATAATTTTGAATATAGGTGAGAGAAAGAATAAGAATGTGTAAAAAAGAGTAAGGGAAAATGTGTGCGTGGGGGGGGAGGATTAGAAAGAAAAACGGAAAGAACGAGAGAAAAAGAAGAAAATCAATAGAGAGAGAGAGAGAGAGAGAGAGAGAGAGAGAGAGAGAGAGAGAGAGAGAATGATTCAGATAGGGAGAAAACGACTAAGTGAGAGAAAAACAAAGATAAACTGTCTAGAGAAAGAGAGACAAAGAAGGGAAGTAACTACTGTAGCGGGCGAGTCACAATATATGTCCCTAATAAAAGTCGCAATTATACCTTGCCAGTAGGGGGCACTAGTAAGCAATTCCGAGCCTTGTCGAGGAAGAATTTTGCGTGTCGAATGGAATCACAGTGAGAGTCCAATTTAGAAACAGGGAGTTCATATCAGAGAGCGGGGTAACCCTGAATAAATTTTGCCGACTGCCTCCCACGACGTCAACGACGACGACGACCCCGACTACGAATATCTTGTTCAAATCAGAGCGAACAGTATTGTTTCTTTTCCCTCTGGTTGTTTCCGTAATTGTAAACAGAGTTTCAATGAAATTGTCCTTTCTCGACGTCTTATATGTATTTAAACCTCTTTGCTTTCTTGATTCTCTCATAGGGCTGCATATCCTTGATTGGATATTACGATCATATTTTCCATCCTATGCTCTGTGGCCAGTAGGCCTTTACTGTCTAAAACAGAGGGAACTGGAACTCACTTTACAGACACACAGGTTGGCTTCTATACGTTAGCCTATAATAGATCCATTCGTTTTCAACTTTGCACATATAAAAATGGAATCGATTTCTTATAATTTTATTTCTTTGTCTATGTTGCAATTTGTCAAGGTTGGTAATGGGTGCTACAGCTTATTAATGGCTGCATAGTGGTTACATGAAAGTTAGTTGATGAAATAGATTTATGTAAGGTTCTATATATTTCTTACCTAAATATAACCCGGAGGCACACAATGAGGATCGAGGATCGAACTAGGGTAGAAAAGTTTACAACTCATTACTCATATCACTTATTTGATAAGTCTGAGGAAGATGAGAGCAATCCAAAACAATATATATATATATATATAATATATATATATATATATATATATATATATATATATATATATAATAAAAAGGCTTAAACATTAATATTCCATGGTCATAATTTATTCCACTGGAATCGTAAATACGATCCAATTCATCAGACCTACAATTTCAAAAAGAAAACAGAAAAAACAACTCCGGGAATAAAAAATAAAATTTAGTGAGGGTGTATGTATGAGAGTGTGGGACGAATGTTAGAGTAAATGAAAGCTATAGGGAGGGGTAACAGACGAGAGAAGAACAGGAAGGTCTAAAGATGAAGCGGGGATTAAAATTTAACAGAGAGAAGTTTTAAAGAGGAGAGTCAAAGACGGTTTAAGTGAGAGAAATATGAATATTCTCGGATGTCCAATACATTAAAGATTTACCAGAAAAGAGTATAC